TCTCCAGGGTAGGGTCTTCTGTCTACCCCCTAATCTTCTCTGGAAGCTTTCCTCGGAGGAAGTCTAGGGAATGGGAAAGGAAAGAGGCTTTGTGGCTTCCCATTAAGTTGTTACTGGCTGGATGGGTGCTAGATAGAATAATGGATTTTCTTGAGTGCGACAGGTTTGTCTGTCAAAGTTCTATGCCTACGCTGCTCTTCTCAATGGCAAGAACATAGTGGTGATATGCAAGACCAGCATGGTGTGACCAGAACCCACTGAAGCATGTGCCATAAGGGACATGCCCAGCACAGATGGCTCCAATCCCGTGCTCATCTAGAACCTTCCACCCCAAGCCACCCCCATAACCTGAAAGAGTGTAGGCATCTAAGCCCAAGTTAATTCAACTTAACACCTCACTTCACACGTTTTACCGTACCTACCATGTACCAGGCACAAAGACACAATGAATCAAAAGAAAAGATGATAAAATCCTAACAATTTAAAAAGGCAATCAAGAGCTTACTGCTGGGTCTAACTGGAATTGAATCCCCTGAACCTTCTAAACTCTTTGACCTTAATAGCTTTGTGAACCTTGGTTTCCTCATCTAGAAGATGGGGCCACAACCCTCAATTTCAGGGGCATGGACAGTCCAACCTGAAACTGCACTGAAGCACCTGGCAAATGTTAAGGTAAGTGGAGTGTTTACCATATCCCAATAAAGGCATATGCTACCACAATTTATTTGCTTAATCCTCTTTCTGTCAAACCCACAACCCACCAACTGATAGTTATATACCAGGACAAAGACAACAAATGCTGGCCAAGGCTAGGAGCACCTAACCACCCTGTTCCACAGGTTGCTCTGCCTGCCAGATTCAAACCACTGTAGCCCTGACTCCAGTATTAGACAGCTAGGAATCTGCTGGGTGGTGGTGCTAGTCCTCTGGGTCTCAGGCACTCATACTCCAACCAGTTCTGAGCCAACAGTGTCAGCATCTCCGGCCAATCAAAGCATTCTTGAATGCAACACAAGTAAGACAGGCGTCGCTTACCAAGTGGCATCTCCTTTAAACAAACACTTGACCAAATCAGTTCCAACAGGCATAAACAAGGACCTCTTTCCCAGAAGCTCTGAGGCTTCTCCTCAACTCCTTTGTTGTTGCTGTTTTTTTTTTTTTTTTTCACAAGTCTCCCAGGCCCTGAACTCAAAAATCCATTTACAAGGGCACAGCTCTGCACACAGAGAAATCTCCCCAGAATGAAAGGACCCCTTTCCCTTCGCCTCTCCTTCCCACCCCCAAAGTCACTTCCTTTGAGTTCTTTATTAAGTTCTTTACTGAAGATAGTCTCTTCAAGTTTTCTGACTCCAAAAGAAAAGGAAAGGAAAAAAGAAAAGAAAACCTTTATTATGTAAAGCATGGGAAGAAAAAGGACAAAAAATAAAGGCGACAGAACTGAGCCTTATCCGGGAACTCTGAATACAGTACTAGGGAGCCAGGAAAAGAGAGTCTGCAGACAGAAGGGATGGGGCGCTACTGACCCAACCAGCACAAAGAAGGCTCTGCAGTGGCAAGGCCTTCCCTGCGAGCCACAGGGCAACTGGGAGCCTCACACTTCTCCTACCATCAGTCTCCCTCCTCTCCCCCACCTCCCTCCTGTCTCCTCGGTCTCTTAGTTCTTATTTATACCTTTTGCTTTTTTCTTGTCAGTCTATTTATTCACTGAATCAAACACATTCTAGGCCCCCAGCTCTGGATAAAGGACACTGCGGAAAACAAGTCTCTCTTACAGGCTGAAAAAAGTTCCCACTTGGCCCAAGCGGCAGCCATGGAGATGGGAAACAAAGGTGCATAGGAGTGAGAGCACCAGTGGCCAGGTCAGAGAGGCACACAGGGGCATTCAATCCCGCCTGGGAGATGCTGGGGCTAGTGTCTGAATGAAGGTGGGATGCTGAGGCTGGGAGGAGACAGGTGGGGACAGGCCAGGAGCTTGGATCAGACGACAGAGCTGCTGGGACAGGCAGGACCACATCAGGAAATGCTTTCCCAGGAGGTGGGAAGGAATATCACAGTGGGCTGGGTAAGAGAGGGTGGCCTTATGGACACAAGCACAAGAGAATAGTAAGGGGACTATAGCCCACAAAAGCTGGAGGGGAGAGTGGGGGGCATCAGTGGTGATCTAATATTTTCTAGTTTGGAAATGGGAGATAACCAGGTTAGTGGGCTACTGGCTACACCTTCCACCTTTTCCCGCTCGCTGTCTATTCCTAATCTAGGCTAGAGACATCCTGCTGAAAAGAAGCCAGTTCAAGCCTCCCACTGAATCATGTATGAATGCATGAAGAACCCCAACAACTCAACAACAGAAAACAAACAAAATCCAATTTAGAAAATGAGCCAAGAATTTGAATAGACATTTCTCTAAGAAAAACATACAATGGCCAACCACAAGCACACGAAAAGATGCCCAGCATCACTGCTTGGGAAATGCAAACCAAAACACAAGGATGTGTTTGGTTTGTCACCTCACACATCAGGATGATGGCTTGATTCTTCATCTGTATAAGCATATCATAGACACATTATTCACAATAGTCAAAAGGCAAAGCAACCCAGATGTTCATCAACAAATGAACAGCCAAAATGTGGTACATACGCATACAGTGGAATATCATTCAGCCTTAAGACAGAAAAGAGACTTTGACACTTGCTACTGCATGGATGAGCCTTGAAGGCACACATATGCTAATTGACATACACCAGTCACAAAAGACAATCAGTGAATGATGCCACCAAAAGGAGGTATCCAGAGTACTCGGATTCACAGAGACAGAATTAACAGAATTGTAATTGCCAGGGACCAGGGGAAGGGTAAAATGAAGCTATCTGTTGTTTAGTGGGTACATAGTTTTAGTTTTAGAAGATGAAAGAAGTTCCAGAGATCAGATATGCACAACATGAACAGGCTGAACACTGATTAAATAATACGATTAAAATAGCAAATTTTAAGTTATGTGTATTTTATAATTTTGTTATGTGTGTTTTACAATTTAAAAATAAAACACAAGTCAGTTCAGAGGACTCTTCTGCCTGAATCCCAAATGACGACTCTGGTATCTTAGCCAGGTGGCCCAGCTTTTATACGAGCATCCCAGAGTGAGTGCTACATGAGCAGCAAACACACCCGGAGCTTTGTGTGACCAAAGCTCAAAGCTCAGCAGAGAAGGCAGGTGAAACTAAAGTTCCTACTCTGGAGGTTCTGAACAATTTCTTTGAGATCATCAGAGACCTGCATTAGAGGGGGAAATGAGTGTTTTTATTCTTAGGGAAGGTAAAGCTGCGAAGGGATCCATTTAAGTTTACCAAAACGGGTGAGGGTGGTGCATGGTAAGAGAAGAGTTGTGCTAGGAATAGCTCTTGTTGGCTTCATCAAAGGAACAGGCCAGCCTCTCTCTGCAAGGGAACAAAACTAGTGATTCTGCAGTTACAGGCACTTGGAAGTATATGGGGGCCAGGTCATGTGGCATTCGTTCGTGTCAGTTTACCCCTTGGGCTGCCCTCTGGAGCGAGGAGAACTTAATACAGCAGAAGTCTATTAAACCAGCACCTGTTAAAGGCTTCAAAAATAAAATCGCTCTTCAAAGGCAGACAGCAGGCAAGATAAGCTCTCCCCACTTGGCTACATTTTAGAACCAATGTTAAATGAGACAGTAAAGCAGATGGAGGCATCTGAAACCAACATTTAAAACTTTTTATCATAAGTGATCGTTCCACTACAGTTCTGTGAAAGCCTGGTTTACAAGGTATTCTCGTTAGTGCTGGAAAAGATCTCATGTCACAGATAAGAGCCAGGAAAAGGGGGTAAGGAGATCAAAGGCACAGGGCCAAGGTGGGTCAAGTGGGTAATTTCTGGTTGCTGAAATTAGGCGCCTTTTGTCTATACCAGGGTCAAAGCAAACTTATTCTGTAACAGGCTGGATGGTAAATATTTTAGATTTTGTGGGTCATACAGTCTCTGTCATTACCACTCCACCCTATTGTTGTAGGGTAAAAGCAGCCACAGACAATATGTAAATGAACAAGTGTGCCTTTGTTCCAATGAGCTTTACTCATAAACACAAGTAGTGGGCCCACATTTGGGCCCCTGGCTGTAGTTTGCTGACCCTGTCAACACTATGGCAACCTGTTTGGGTTTCCGGGGCCAGGGACCCAGATTCTAATTCCAGCTCTGATTCAACTTTGGAACTGTGTGTAAATCACTCTTTCTCTATCTGGTTTAGCCACCTACAGAATAAGACTAACTACCTCTCATTCTCCTCCAGGGCCCATGCCACACATCACTAATCACAATCTTTAGTGCCGATGTCTTTCTTACTTCTTCTGAAAATGAAATGGAATGTGAGTCTACCCCAGTATCGTGTTGCTGAAAAGATGAGCCAGGTTCTTTCCTGGAGTCAGTGAAAACAGGGTCACTTGCCTCATTCCGCCAGTTACTCTCTAGCACACTGGAGCTGCCTCACTCACCACTCTTAAGTCTAAGCAGGTGTGTGCCCTTGGCTCTTCCAGAATCCCATGGTGACTCAAGAAGTGCACAATGTCAACTCCTTGAGGTGGACACCCACCAGAAATAGCAAATCTTCCATAATTTTACTTCAATATTAAACTTTTGATGTACCTTACTTAAAAAATCACAAAATTCAATTATAGCCCTCTGCTTTCCCTAAACCTCTGGCTAAAAAATAGTTTCAAGGTCGGGTATGGTAGCTCACACCTGTAATCCTAGCACTCTGGGAGGCTGAGGCAGGTAGACTGCCTGAGCTCAGGAGTTCGAGACCAGCCAGAGCAAGAGCGAGACCCCATTTCTACTAAAAACAGAAAAACTAACCAGGTATTGTGATGGGTGCCTGTAGACCCAGCTACATGGGAGGCTGAGGCAACAGGATCACTCAAGCTCAAGAGTTTGAGGTTGCTATGAGCTATGACACCACGGTATTCTACTGAGGGTGGCAAAATGAGATTCTGTCTCAAAAAAATAATTAGTTTTGTACACTCAAAGCTTGGAATCAGAAGAATCTATAACAAACCTTCCAACTCCACACCCCATGGCCTCCGAGTTGCCGCAGCACTTTGCCCACCATGATGCAATCTGGAATTGCTATGATAGCTCTGTACTGTACACCCAGCTGCTCTGCCCACACAGCAGGCACTGACAAGGTCTGATCACGACGAACAAAGATAAGCACACATCTCTGTGCACCGTATGAGGCTGTGCTGCAGCTTAACATGCCACATGTGGAATCCATACAATATGAGACAACATGAGCCCCTCATATTATTGATTATCAAATTCAGTGCAGGGCAGAGCAGCCCTGATCTAAGGAGGTTATTACTATATTGCTGCATATGCCAAAAAATGCTGACTGCTTCAAAAACACCTATGAAGATGATGATTTGATGTTTTCTCCTTTGTCAAAAAAACACAGCCCTATGAGATACATCATACAGCCAAGTACTGGCAGTTGTTTTGTTTGTAAACATTTTTATTGAAATGTAACAGTTATACTGAGACTGCATAAATTGTGAGCATAGAACTCAATATGTTTTTACAAAACGTATGCACCCATGTAACCACCTCTCAGATCAAGATAACAGAACATTTAACAGCGTCCCAGAAGCCCCTGATCTCCTGTCATTTTTTTAGCTGCTATTCTCCCCAAAGGAGACCTGTAATTTTTACCAGAATTTTGTCTATTTTTACTCTATGTATATTCCTCCATAACTGTCTACTTTCATTAAATGTTATGTTTATAAATTGTACCCAGGTTGTTCCATTAGCAATGATCAATTCTTTTTTCTTTTAAGCTCTATTGGACTTGAAGTAGTTAATTCTTTGCTATTACTGTATAATATGCATCTATTAAATTCAGCAATTTTTTCATTCTATTATTGATGGGCATTGCGTTATTTCCAGTCCAGCCTATTGCTGAAATCACAGCCCCCTGCATGTGCCTTCCGGTGTGTATGTGCAGGCATTCTGGCAGCTGTGCAGGCAGGAGATTGTCACACAGGTCATCAAGTACATGTATGGTCAGCCTTAGCAGATACTGGTAGCTTTCTTTTAAACAAAATCCCCAGGGCTGAAATTAACCTGAAAACCAACTGATCCAAGTGGACCACGTTCTCAGATGCTATTGCCCTAGTGGGTCCCTCTTCCTGGACCCCTCCCCATAAAACGCAGTAGGCATATAGCCTGGGGCAGAGGAGGCGGCAAGGCTCAACCTAATCTTGTTCTGGTATCAAACAGAATCATTATTTTTTTAATAAGTGAGGAGCTAACAAGCACCAAAAAACAAACAAAAAGAATAATTCTAAGTCCCTAATTGGCAAGAAGTAACAAGAACACACTGGATGCCAGGATCAATGTCCACAGGCAACTTGAAAATGCGGATGAGATTTTTCAAAGAACAAGGAGTGTGGAGTGTAGAAGAGCTTTCCTAGGCCAACTTGAAGAAAACTCTCTCTCCTCGGAATGAGTCAAAAGTCAACCCTCTCACCAGCCTGCTTATATCTACCTTCTTAAAGACCAAAACCTAGCTCGGTGCCTGTGGCTCAAGTGGCTAAGGCACCAGCCACATACACCTAAGGTGGCAGGTTCAAATCCAGCCCGGGCCCGCCAAACAAC